TTTTTAACTCAGTTGTTAACACTAAATACCTGTTAGAAGCGGTTAGATTGCAAGTAAATGAGAAAATAGATGAAAAAACACATTACTAAATAAATAAATATATTTCATAAATGAAGATAATTTGAAATGTTATCCCAATTTAAAACCCTCAGTTTGCATCGACAATCACGCATTATCAGACACCCACCAACACCTAATCTCCTTTTCAAACATTCCACACCTTGAGATTTTATTCTTTGGTGCCTCAGTGAAACTAAGGCGAAAGCAAATTTCTTTTATAGAACTTTACAGAACACTGGTTAAATATATATATTGAAACGAAAAAAAGGGAAACTATGAAATTTACCTGAGGAATTTTTCCAGCTAGGGAAGTGAAAACTGCGTCATCTCGGGTGTCTCGGCTGAACGCAAAACGTTCCTCCTGAAACAAAAGAAAAAAAAGCGCTGACAGAGATTACAATTACTTTGGTTGAAATTCTTCTTCCAGTTGTGAAGGGATGGTCATAACGAAGCTCTAAACGCGTCTTCAAAACGGAATGTTTGTTTTGTTTTTTGGTTTTTCGAATGTTTGGTCATCAGATACTGACCAGATGGACAAGTAATTCAAATAAAAGGTTAAAAAGGACGAATAGCACTAAGTGTTAAGAAATGGGGCTGACACCGCTGTTTGCAACATACTTCCCAGAAACCAAAGCAGTTTGCATATAGCCCTTTACTCTGCGAAATAACCCCTCTTTTGACTTTTAACAGGATTCCTATCTTTGAAACATTAAAAAAAGGTAAGCTTTTTTATCCATCAACTGAAATTGTTATGACTGGTTGAGACATATCTTCAAAAGGGAAACGTGTTTCTAAAAAAATGAGATTGAAACTGTTTGCAGTAAGACGAAGCAAACTCAGTAAGAGAATGAAGAGAATAAATATATTCTTGTGCGGTGAAAACGAGTTCTACAGAAAAAACTGAAAATGCTTTTTTCTCATCATATATTATGTGTTCTAAATACTTCCACCCTACCTTGAACTCTACAAAAGGCCTTCCCCACAACAACCTGTCTATCAGCTGTCTCTCCAGAGCCGCCCAATCATAATGAACCAAGGTCTCCCGTCCCACCTCCAGAGAGTAGTTACAATGAGCCAGGATGAGGGGCAGCAGGTCTCTGTCAGGATCATAGGCTATTAAGTGCGACAAGGTCACCTCTGATACGGAGACACGCTCCAAGGGACTGTAAATGAAAAAGAATATTGTAGATGATATGTATAGTTGGGTCTTACTCATAAACAATTATTGGATGAGGTTTTTTTTTGTAATATCCAGAATAATCAAGGTCGAGTCAGGGGTTATCAGCCGAAGCCGAAGGCTGAGCCGGCTAATAACCCTTACCAAGACCTTGATTATTCTAAATATCACAAAAACAAAATCTAATAATTGTTTTATTATACATTGAAGGAAAAAAAATGGTCACAACAGTAGGCGGAATTGATAATTTATTTCTAAACGGGTAAAAATATACAAATCAGCAAGCAACACAAAGCGCGCGAACTTGACGTGATTACCCTTAGAAATTGGCACTGCAGTTATACCTGACATGATTACCCGTGACCCTGAGTGTCCTTGACATGGCTATTGTATAATCTGAAACTAGATGACGTCACAGGCGCTGATTTCGAAAATTAACCGTAGGCTTTCAGTCAATCAGAAAAGAGATAGTAAGTTGAATATATAATAATGACTGTAATTGTCTGTAGTTAAGTGTCCTATGCTTAGTGGGGTAATTATCCAAGACTGAGCAGGACTAGCGGAAAATTATTTTCATCAACATCGTAACTATTTCCAATGTACATTATTCTCGAAAATAATAGCCCCAATTAATGACATTTTTCATTCTAAAGCTACATTTAGAGGAGACGATAACTGATTGCAGGATGCTGATATCAGTCTCATATTGCAGCTCAGTCAGTTTGACAAACACCTTAGACCTAAATTAAGTAGAAAAACGTTATCTACGCTTTACACAGCTCGAGTCAGATCATGTCGATCAACTATTTGCTTCTATAGAAGGTAAGAGGAAAACAGCAACACGTAAG